TCCAAGCAGCCAAGGCTTTGCTGACCCCCGCTGTCTCTTGCTGAGTGAGTGATGGTCAGAGGTATCTCAGGGAGCCGATCTTGACGTAGAAACTGCAAGGAAGGCCCTTCTTCAGCCTTTATGCACAAACCACATTTTAAGAATGAGATGTGTCATTCACTCACACTCCTTGCGCCCCAGTGCAGTTTTACTGTATGTCCTTTGAATGCAAAAGAAACTTGTGAGATGAGTAAATAGGTTCTCCCTCAAGTGGAAAGCTGATGTGTTTGTAATTGCTGACTTGTTTGGGATATTCCCTATTGGAAGATGGGCTTCCCAAGGTTGGGGGGATAGCAACCCTTTCATGTTCCCAAGACAGATCTGTTGAGTTCTTCTTGGGAGATGATGGAAAGGTGGGGAAAAAAAGTTTAAAAAGCCCAAGACTTCTCTCTCTCTCTCCTGCCAAACCTAACAGGAATATAATTTCATTGCAGACCATCACATGAACCTTTCACCTAGCTGGCACAACATGAAGCAAACTGTCCTTTCCCACGGCAGAAGGGGGTACACATTGTTTCCAGGTTAGGTTATTTTGAGCAATAATGCTGGTTCCAACCCTCTTAGCCCAGAATGACCCTCATGTTCTTCGACTTGCATACGCAGGGAGCAATTCACATGTCCCCTCTACTCTGAGCTTATGCATAATATCTGCCTTTGACTTAAAGAACAAATCGTCATTCTTCCTGAGCATTGCTTCAACTCACTGGTCACTGCTAATAAAGTAGGTCGTAGAGGAAGTATTAGAATGTAGAAATGGTGCTGCTCACTTCAGGTTGGGTACATCTTAACTCTTTGGTACATAATTATGCCTGGACTTCTACTTCCAGAAGTAGAAGTCAAGGTACCCATGTCATGATGTGTGGTCAGAGCGATTCTAAGGAAGGAGGGTTACTTTTGGTGTGTGTTGCAGGGAGAGTGCTCAGAAGGTTTAATGGGAGAAGTGACATTTGAAGTGAGACTTAAAAAGAATGGGAACATTTGATGGGGAAGTGACGGGAGAAGGGCCCAGGGGTTAGAAAGACCACTTCATTGGGAATGGGAATGAGGGAACTGTGTTCAGAGAGGAATGAGATGTGACTGAACTCTGATGATTTTTAAGCCCTGGCTACACATTAGAATTACTTGCAGATTTTCTTCCAATATGGATGCTGGGCCCTACTCCACACGAATCAAATTGGAATCTTTTGTAGAGGGGCAGTGTTTTTGAGAAACTGCCAAGATTATGCAGATAGGTAAAGTACATAAAGAAGAGAGAACCCAGGTTGGGGATTTAGCTCAGTAGCAGAGCTCTGGCTAGTACACATGTGCAAGGCCCTGGGTACACTCCTCAGATTGAGGGGAATAGGAGGGAAGAACTGAGAACCCCTAAATGTGTGCACAGAAACCAGGAAGTGGAGTCTTTGGAGATGGGCCAGAAGAGTAGGGGGTTAGGAAGAATTTTCATTTTTATATGTTTTTAAAGCCATATGATTTATTGCTTTCACCATCACAAACAGAGCTCTGTAAACATATATCTAACGTGTAAAAGGTATAAAATAAATCTTCAACATTTTGTTTGGAAGGAATAAAACTATGTTGTTAAAGATGAACCATGGGCCCAGGTACGATGCTAGGTGTTTTGTTTTGAGAACATTTTAAATCCTTTGAAATCATGAGAATGTTCCAAGATGTGAAAAATCCACAGTTTAGAGCATTTAGTACTTTGATGTATATATGCATATTCTTTTAAAGATTGTGGGTTTTGAAGATGGAAAATATATTTTAAGGGAAGAGAATGAGTTTTGAAGTCAGTGGTAAACTAAGATCCCAGGTCTGCCCTTTCCTGCCTGGTGTGGTCAAGTTATGCATCCCCTTGAGCCTTGTTTTCTTATCCTTAACCCGCAGGTTTGTCCTGACATTTGAGTGAAACATAGCTGTAGAACATTTAGCAAAGTGTCTCATCTAGGAGGAATATGATAAGCTTTCAGAGTGTACATATTTATTCAACTAATTAAACCTCATGCCTGAGTTTGTACTTTTTGTTCACCTAGGAGGAAGTATGTGCAGTGATAAATTCTAGCTGGCCTTGTAGTCAGCTCTCCCTGCAGTGAGTTGGGCATGTTGAGATATACTTACACATTTATATATACATACGTGTGTGTGTGTACTTGATATATAATATCAAGTACTTTTATTCAAGATCTATATTATTTATTTACTTATTTAGGATTCCATGGATTGAACCCAGGGGTGCTCTACCCCTGAGTTACATCCCCAGCCCTTTTCATTTTTTATTTTGAGACAGGGTCTTTCTAAGATGCCAAGGCAATTTTTAAATTTAAAAAAAAAAAAAAAATTCCTTTTTAAAGTACTTTACGGGGACATAGCTTTGAACACAAGCAGGAGATAGTAGATGTATTTATATATGATTTCTCTGGCTATATCACCCAAGAATTTCCTTCAAATTCTGAGTTTTCTGTCTTTATGAATATATTATAAAATTTTGTGATAATTTTCAAGTGATAATTCTCAGGTATATTTTCTTTTGTACCAGGTTACCTAAAAAATAGCTACTTTCAGTATATTTTCTAGTCTACAAAAATAGTGTTCCTAAAGAATGTTTCCAATTTGAACAAAAATAAGAAGAGGGGTTAGAATATGGATCTTCAGAGGTTCTAGGAAGACTCTTGCATCATAATGTTGTTTTTATGCACGTTTACTTTGTTAGCTGAGTCAGTTATTAATTGACAAGATTAATCAGTAGCATGCCTATAGATTACCAATTTCCCTTGTTCCAAGGCACTGAGTCCTTTTCTGAAACAGCATCTGAAATTCAAATTTAATTCATAGTTGTATCCTAGTAGGAATACGTTCTGACCTCCTGGGCAACCATGAAAAGTGTTTGTCATGATATGTAGAATGGTAGTGAAATAAAACAGCCTTTATTTTCACAACTTGAGTCTTGAAGTGCCACTGTTTTTTTGTTTTGTTTTTTTAATTAAGCATTCAGCTTGGAATGGGGAAGTGACCAGGCATTGGGGTAAACAGACTCTTGTGAGATGTTGCCACCTAGTGGCCAAATGGTGTAATCCTGGTCTAGCCTGTTATGAATGGAACAGTGCAGAGGCAGCTTAAGACTGAAAATCAACTGGAGGAAAAGCATTTTGGATGATTAATTGATCACCACAGATATAAAAAAAATTAAAAAGCTTATTTTATATGCTACATAGAAGTCACTAAGGTAATTTATTATTGCATTTAGTTTCAAAGTGTAACACTTCCTGAACGAACAGTTCTGCATTCACTACTTATTAAAATATTTCAGATTTTTGCCCATTTGATTGCATCTGCACTGAATATCAAGATGTTTAAATAAATACCTGTGTTTTAGGTGGGAAAAATAAATGGTCTTTTGTAGAGTAGATTAGAAAAAATTGGTTTCTGAAAGTAAACATTCTCATTATAAGATAGAAATCTAAACCTTTAAATCTTAAATGACTGTTAATTCAATTTTGTGTGTGTGTTTATGTGTGGGGATCAAACCCAGGATCTTTTGCATACTAAGCAAGTGCTCTATCACAGCCACACAGCTATTCCACTGTTATTCAACTTTAATTAGGTAATTAGTTTCTCTCTTAATTTATTTTGGTATGTATTTGACTTATTTTACAAATCAAGTAATTTTTCTTTACCTGTTTTTTTTTTCTTTTTTGGTACTGGGGATTGAACCCAGAGGTGCTTTACCATTGAGCCATATTCCTAGCCCTATTCAATATTTACTTTGAGACAGGGTCTCTCTAAGTTGCTTAGTGTCTTACTAAGTTGCTGAGGCTGGCTTTGAATTTGCAGTCCTCCTGCCTCTGTCTCGTGAGGCATATGGAGGCATATGCCACCATGCCTGGCTGTACCTCAGTTTCTTCATTTGCAAACTGTTTATACTGAAAAAAAAAAAAGGTTTATTGGATAAATGATGATGACCCTGGACCACTCATAGATACTGAAAACACAGTGATGAATAAAACACGGTTCCTGATATCAGAGAGCACAGCCTTTACAGGAAACACAAAAGTAAATAGTTTTAATTAGAAGCAAAAAGAATGATGAATATATCTAAGCACACAGAAATATCAGGACATTCATTGAGAAGCCAACCTTGCCTCAGATGCAAGTGGAGTTGCAGTGAAACCTTCCAGTTAAGGATTGAAGGATGAGTGGGAATTAATAAGCAAGGGAGGAGGGTGGCACTGAGCAAGGCACTCCATGCCAAGACCACCAGTGTGGATACGTAAGGTAATATTATGAGGGGGACATAAGATGAAACTGGGGTATTCGTTATTACCAACTGTAATATCACCAATTGTAATATTACAGAGATCTCCAACTTTGAAAGCCCCATTATATCCTAGAGGGTCTGTACTAGACTAAATGGCAAACTTAGCTTTCTTTTTGCTGGTTAAAGCTGATCTCTTAGTTCAGTCTCCCATCAGTACAGATTTTGCTTGGGTTCAATGTCAGGCTGGCATGAACCTCTTCAGTGGAGCACATTTTATAATACTTATCAAATAAATTATGAAAAATGTCATATGGGTTCATTATATATGAGATCAATAAAGTATGATTTTGTGGAGTTGCCTTCTAAGCTGAAAGCATTGTCAATGGAACATTGACTTCCAGGCTGAAACTTCCTAAACCTATTGTAAGTCTATCTTAATAATCAATATCTGTGTTTTAAGGTTTACTTCTTGAGTTAGTGGTGGGGATAAGTGTGTTTTGTTTTATTGGATTGCTGGTAGTTAAAAACAAACAAGCAAAAAAAAAAAAAAAAAGCTACTGCCAATACAAAATTATTACATTACAAACTAAGTATCTTGCAAAAAAATTATTTTTATGTTTAAAAAAAAACAGTGTTTGTTTTTTAAACTTTAAGTGGCTTATAAAAACTTCATGAAGTCCTTAAGTGAATACAACTTCTGTCTTCACAGATACAGGCTAGTCCCAAACGTTTATTTTCCTGAGCAAATTCATGATGTTGTCCGTGCCACAAAGTACTTCCTGCAGCCAGAAGTTTTACAGAAGTACAAGGTTGACCCAGACAGAATTGGCATTTCTGGGGACAGTGCTGGTGGAAATTTGGCCGCTGCCCTTGGACAACAGGTAACACCACTGTCCTGCAGTGCTGGTGGTCACATCTAACAGGCCAACACATTCTCTATTACCTGTGCAAAGTCATTGTTGGGTGGGCTGCTCCTGCAAAGCCAGGTTATTCAAATGATCACACCTGCAGAGCATACAGATCTTTTTGAAATAGGAATGCAGGTCACTGAAGGAAGCAATTCTGAGTCCTTGGGGAGGCTCCGATTTCACTCAGTGTTAGAAAAGGCCTAACATTTTAGAGGGCTCTTTGTTCCAAAGGGCGATGCTTGGAAATTAAGTATCCCCTACACCTTCTCCATGTTTAACTTGCAAAATGGGATGTTTTTCTTAAATGTCAGATCATTTTCTTAGAACTTTGAGACAAATTTTAAAATGTTGCCCAAAGTTTTCTTTTAAAATGAAAAAGAAAAGAAATGAAATAGTTCAGCTTTTTTATTGTATTTATTTTTGTGGTACTGGGGATTGAACCCAGGGCCTCTCATATGTTAGGCAAGCACTCTACCATTGAGCAATGTCCCCCATCTTTTTTATTTTTTAAATTTTGACATAGGGTCTAAATAAATTGCTCAGGCTGGTCTGAAACTTACAATCCTCAGCCTTTTTTTTTTTTTTTTTTTTTGAGAGAGAGAGAATTTTATTATTTATTTTTTAGTTTTCGGCAGACACAACATCTTTGTTTGTATGTGATGCTGAGGATCGAACCCCTGGCACGCATGCCAGGTGAGCGAGCTACCACTTGAGCCACATCCCCAGCCCCCTCAGCCTCAGTCTTGAGAGTACCTGGGATTTACAGGAGAGCGCTTTTGAACCCAGCTTGGTTCAGCTATTTTAGATGTTAAATTACAAGTTGAACTTATTGTAAGTTCAAGTTCAGCCTGGGCAACTTAGTGAGATCCTGTGTCAAAATAAAAAATAAAAAGGGATTGGGGATATAACTCATTGGTAGAGTGCCCTTAAATATCTCAATCCCCCATACAACCACACACACACACACACACACACACACACACACATACAAACATAAAATGGATCTGAGGTTTACCTGAATAAGTTCTATAAAAACTGTGTCATCTAGCCCAAGGAGTCTAATAGCACTCAAAATCTTTGGTAGTTGCATAAATACAAAGATACACACAACATCCTCTTATGGATTAAATAATTTAAGAACAGCATCTCAGTCTTCTCACCTCCAGATTTCTTTTCATATCTTCCAATAATAGCATCTGCCATTTTATTTGTGATATCCCTTGTTTTTTTTTCTTAATAATTATTAACTAATAATAAGTAAAGAACTCAATTCTCCATGTTGCATGGGCAAGTGTGCTGCCCATGTATCCACAGATGGCAGAGGAAAACCCTGTGCAGTGAGGAGGGCACCACAGGCCATAGAGCCAGACAGAATGGGGTGTCAAACAAGCCCCACCCCTGAGAGAGACAGAGCTCTAGACAACTCCCTCAACCTCTCTCAGCCTGAAGACAACTGAGAGCAGGCATCTGATTGCAGGATTTGGTGAAATGACATGTGCACAATTCTTGGCAGATGTTGTTATTTATTGATCATTTTCTCTAGCTTTTACAGAGCAGTTACATCTCAAGTCCGGAGAAGCTTTAGTTACCCAGGAAGCACAGTGACTTGGTTAGCTTCCTTTTAGATGGAACATGACCAAGGCCCAGTTTTAGATAGTAGAATTACAAAATGGGATCACGTGCTCACACTGCAGAGAGCCGCAGGTGAGCTGAGATTGCTGCGATGGGGATGCACTGCCATTCGCATTTCAGCTTTGCTCTGGGGCATGTGCCCATTAAGCAGGATGGAGGGTGCATTGCCAGCATTATTTAAATCCCACTCTCTCATGGAGCATGAAGACTAAATGCTCATCAGAGGGGATTCTACTAAAACACCTTGGAGTGCTGTCATCTGTTCATTTAGCTTTTCCTATACCTCTCCTGGAAGAGTAGGGCTCATTTTTTTTCCTCTTAGGAAGCTATTCATTGCCTTTTGGGGATGAATAAAAAATTAAATAAGATTCACAGATTATTTGTCCACAATACCTACCAATCAGCACTAAATGCCAGACGAGAGAGATGAGTTAAGCATTAATGTGGGTTTAAAGAATTCAGAGTTCACCTTGGGTTCATTCAAAACTGAGTCACAAACAACATACCTTTCTTTGTAAACATACCTTAATATTGGTCTTGGTAGAAATTTAATGTTCATGCTTTTGACTGATTTAAAGTAGTGCACGAAGCTTCTCTAAAGGGTGTGCTTCTGCAAAGGGAGCCACGCAAAATGAAATAATGTGTTTCTTCTTTTCTAGTTTGCTCAAGATGCCAACCTAAGAAATAAGCTCAAACTGCAAGCTTTAATCTACCCGGTCCTCCAAGCTTTAGATTTTAACACACCCTCTTATCAGCAAAACGTGAACACGCCTATCCTGCCCCGCTACGTCATGGTGAAGTATTGGCTGGACTACTTAAAAGGCAACCACGACTTTGTGCAAGCCATGATAGTGAACAATCACACTTCGCTTGATGCGGAAGAGGCTGTTGCCCCCCGGGCCCGTCTTGACTGGACGTCCCTCTTGCCTGCATCCATCACAAAGAACTACCAGCCTGTCATGCAGACCAAGGGCAATGCCAGGATCGTCCAGGAGATCCCCCAGTTGCTGGATGCCCGCTCTTCCCCACTCATCGCAGACCAGGAAGTGCTTCTGCACCTGCCGAAGACCTACATTCTGACCTGTGAGCACGATGTCCTGAGAGACGACGGGGTCATGTACGCCAAGCGTTTGGAGAGCGCAGGCGTGGAGGTGACCCTCGACCACTTTGAGGACGGCTTCCACGGGTGCATCATTTTCACGAGCTGGCCCACCAACTTCTCAGTGGGAATCAGGACTAGGGATAGTTACATCAAGTGGCTGGACCAAAACCTGTAAAGGAGTCAAACTTCTGGAAGACCCAAGCCCCTCCTGACCTCCTGTACCTGCTTTGGAAAGACATGGACTTTTTAGTCACCTAACCCCGCCCCCTCCTTGATACCTGTGAGTTTTAGAATCTTGAGTCCCTGCAGACTCTATGATAATCTAATTTTTAAAAATGAGTCTGACTAACTTAAGTACAAAGACATCTGAGTTTGGTGCCCCAAAGTGGACCTTTCTCTCTGTTCTCTATTTTAGTCAACTACTGTTAATATCCACAGCTGCAGAGAGTGGGACCAGGAGCCGCAAATTGCCTTGGATCCTGCCCTCCTCAAGATGTCCTTTTCAGAAATTTATCATCTGTGGATTATAAAATGACTTTTGATGAGTTAAGAAAATGTAAGCTCCTCTTCAACTCGCTAGAGTTTACTTTGGCTTCAGAGCAGTGTTACACGTGTGCACTTTTGGGTCATTACTGGGGGTCAAGTGCCCTCTGTTCTCTGTAGATGGTTTTGTTTCCTATGGGAATTTTGACAAAGGCTTTCTAGCAAGACAAGTTTCTCAAAGGATGTTCTCTCTCTAGTGTTCATTTTATGAGATAGCTATCTCTAAGTCCAGCTGGCTTGAAATGATACTTGAAAGTTACTTTCTACAACTATTCTTAGAAAATATGACTGCATGCACTGGATAGGGACACCTTGTTAAGCTTTTATTGTTTGGTCACCACTGTCTCCTTGGGGAAATCTTTTGGGAACAAATTTATTTAGATTTAGAATAACTTTCCTATTATGAAATAAGTAAAAACAGACAAATGAAACAACCTATTGTTTCATTAAAAACTGTTTTGGGCATAAATTATTAAGAGCAGTGTGTATATATATTTGGTATAGTCAGAAAATAAAGTACATTTAATACTAGTTTAACATTATGAAAAATACCTTTAGAAGGTCTGGTCCATTCTTGAGAACTCAACTTTTTCACTTATATGGCTTTAAAATGGGACTATTTTGGTATAATACAATGTATTGTTTATTTTTTTAAGTTATTTAATGTTAATATATATATAGCTAGACATAGGGTTTTTCTGAAAGACATCAGTAATAAATATTAAAAGGAATGGTATTTTTTAAAAAAATACTACTTTAGAGTTCTATCCACATGTAATTTTATGGAAAGAGATAAAATAGCAATTAATAGTACTAGATATTAGGACAAAATATTTTGATATTTATAAACATATAAAAGTTAAAATAATTAGAAATTCTGACCGCACTTACTAAAGTCCTCTAAGATAAGGGATGCTCAACATGTAGTTCCATAGCTTTGACAAGACACGCACTGCTCTCTCCGCACTTTATGGCCAGAGGAACCCTCTCTTATATTCTTCTGGGTGAAGGGCAGACATCGGCACCTGGTGCCTACACCCCTCATTTTCTCCTTCTGGCCAGGTATAGAAGTTCCACCACTCAAGTTTATCTTGACGTCAATCTTCACTGCCAGTGGGGCATCTTTGGCAAAGTAAGAAATGTCAAATCTGATTTGAGTTGAGCACCTGTCCTTCTTCCTGCCACCCCTGCTTCTGCCCCATGATACTTTTAGGGACTGCAGAAAGCAGCAGCTGAGTCGTGATACACCATACTGTGGAAAGAAAGTAGAACCCTCTCACTCTGGGGGACGGGTATTTCCCACCTCCAGCAATGAGATAACAGATGGAAATTCACATTCTTGTTTTTAATTTATTGTAAGAGCCCATAGCATTTTATGTACAAAACACAAGTTAATGAAACTGTGTGTCTGTGTGTGTTCCTGTGTGTGTATAAAAATAATCAAGCCACCTAGCTAAGGTACTTAGGTGAGTCACTGACCATCTCTGGGCCTCTTTTCCCTTTCCTGTGAAATCAGAGAGCTGAATTACTAGATCCTTAAGGTGTCTTCTGACTAAAAGTCCAACCAATTTGTCAAACTGGACAAACTGTTTTGCCTTTTGGTTTTTTTTTTTTTCCGGAGGGGGAGGGGAGTTGGGGGGTGGGTCATAATTTTATATATTCAGATACATGCATCATCAAAGATTTGTTTTTCTTAAAAATTGAGAATTTAGTTCTTACCCTATGGTAGTTACCGTCCTCATATGATGCTATTTTTATTTTTATTTTTGTGAGCCTAAGATTGATCCCAGGACCTTGCTCATGTTAGGCAAGCACTCTACCACTGAGATACACTATAGCCCTATTTTATTTATTTATTTATTTTATTACCATTTAAAAGTAGACTTTATTTTGAATTTTTCTACTCCTAAGAAATAAGAAATATAATACATGCACAGAGTTCCTTAAAATGACACTCCCCCGCCCCCAGATTGTGAGCCAAATCCTATAGTAATTAGAGACAACAAATGATTCCAGATTTTTAAAGAGCTCTCTGAGATGAAAAGGGAGTAAGAAAAAAGGGGTCAACCACTGTTTCTGATAAAATACTTGAGTCTCATTGTCCTTTTGGGTTAATTCTTATTAAAAAAATGTTAACGATCTTCAGATTGATCTTTTTTTTAGTATAACTTTGTTTTGTTTTCCTGTTTTATGAAAAAGTTGATAATCTTTTAGTAATATTATTGTTGTCTGTGAAATAGGAACATTAATATATGAAGAAAAACCTTGAAGTGCTGCAAAATGTAGTGAGGTGTAAATTAATCTTCATTGATTTGTGAAGAATTTAAGACCATTGTGTAATTACCTTGGTGTGGATATAATATTCTATGCATGACCTTTTAACCTTTGACTTCTTGCCTCCTTCCCACTGCAAAGGGGAAAGGCAGATTTATGAAGGATTTTAGGGACAAATATATTTTATAAAAATCCAGTGTGGAGATGGAAAGCATATCTGTTTGAAATCATGTTTGGAAATAAAATGGCTCCATCTGGGAATGTGCCTCCTTCACTTCCACTCCTTGCATTTTCTGGTTCCTGTTTGAGACACTGCTCCCTCTCTTTCTCTCTCTGTGCCAGATCTCTGTCCCCCTGAGTACTCCAGTTCGCTTTCAGTCCCTGGGAGGTGGTTTGGTGGCCTCTGTGGTGACACTCACCTCCTGTCTAGATACATTATGTGTTTGTTGCCCATGGTGACCCTGCCTTGGACTGACTGGAGTTTTCATAAAAGCATGGGACTGTTGGGGACCTGAAAATATCTTTCAGCAAAGGTAAATCATAATGTAAATGGGGCTTGAACCATTTCAAGTTGACCCTATGGTCTCATTTCCCACTTGAGCTTATTACGCTTAGTTTACATCAATAACGTAGACATAGATAAAACTTTTTTCTAGAGTGAATCACTTATATTAATACTAAATGGTCACACATGAGTGTGTAAATTAGATTTTCCTATTTAATTTTAGTTATTTTCTTCTTCTCCAACAAAATTTCTGGTATGTGGCTGTATTTCACTGTTCCTTTGGGACATGTAAATATAAGTTGTATATTTTTTGTTGTTGTTTGAGGTTTTTGTTTGTTTTGTTTATTTGTTTTGGTACCGGGGATTACAAAAGGGCTTTTTCCACTGAGCTAGATCCCCAGTCCTTTTTTTTAAAAAATTTAAATATGATCTCTTAGGCATACGTGGATTACTCGGGCCTGTCATTCAGCACAGCATTCTGTATCCTTAGAGAATTATAGGGGTGGGGGATGATATCAGGTGCACATGTCTGTCTAGAATGCTCTTCCCTGGATTTTCTCTTGGCTGGCTCATTGTTGACATTTCAGACCAGATGCCCCCTCCTCACAGAAGTCCTCCTTCCCAGCCAGACTTTCTGCCCAACTCAGCACTGGGCCAGCTTTCAGGCCCCACCTCCCCAAGCCTAGGTCCTCTCCATCTGAAAGCTACACTTACTGTTTCTGTTTTTCATCTCCCTTCTCTGTCTGAAATCCTCTTCCCTTATTTCATTTTCTGCTCCTTTTCTGTTTTCCCTAAACTTAAAATTTAAGCTTCATGAGAGCAGGGACCTTGTCTATCTTGTCATCTCTATTTCCTGAGTACTTAAAACAGGGCACATAATAGACTTTCAAAAGAAGATGTTTTCGAATACACTAATCCTTGTCAAGAAAAATTCAACTTATAAAATCATAGTATTATTTTTCATGTGCTTCTTCTAGAAGTAACTTAACATGTCAAATCTAAGTAGTCACTTGAGACTAAAACTAGGGCTGGGGTTGTGGCTCAGTGATAGAGCACTTGCCTAGTATGTGTGAGGCACTGGGCTCGATTCTCAGTACCACACATATAAATAAATTAACTAAATAAAGGTCCATCAACAACTAAAAAAATTTAAAAAACTAAATATTTCTATGCAAAAGGAAATAAGCCTTATTGTTAACTACCAATATATTTTTTTTAACTACCAAATTTTAAAACCAATTTTTCTTTTCTTTTTTTTTTAATATTTATTTTTTTTTAGTTCTCGGTGGACAAAACATCTTTGTTTGTATGTGGTGCTGAGGATCGAACCCTGGCCACACGCATGCCAGGCGAGCACGCTACCGCTTGAGTGACATCCCCAGCCCTAAAACCAATTTTTCTTCTTCTTTTTTTTTTTTGGTACTGGGGAATTAACCCAGGGACACTCAACCACTGAGCCACATAACCAACCCTATTTTGTATTTTATTAGAGACAGGGTCTCACTGAGTTGCTTAGCACCTCACTGTTGCTGATGCTGGCTTTGAACTCATGATCCTCCTACCTCAGGCTCCCCAGAGCTGGGATTACAGGTGTGTGCCAACATGCTCAGCTCCAATATTTTTTAATGAACATCTTTTTCTTCCTTTCACAACTCAAGTGTGTTCTGCATTTTTCTTAACAGTGAGATTTCTGCTATGTTGAATAAACTGTTTCAAATGCCCCCAAAGAATGATCTATATAATGTTTCACAAGTGTTTCACGGAAATCAACTGAAAGAGTTTGAGAAATTTTAATCAAAGAAATTCTCTCCCTTTTAGGAGGCTACCTTCCCTCTGTTTTTTGTTGTTATTTGTTTGTTTGTTTGTTTGTGCTTTGAATAAGAACACTGAACTACACTGCCAACCCTTTTTATTTTTTAATTTTGAGACGGAGTCTCACTGAAAGGAAAGTGAGGGAGACAGGCAAGAGAGAAATGAAAGACAGAGACCAGGCAGAGGTAGACATGAGAGTTTATTTGTCAGAGCTGACAAATAAAGGCCATCTCTCCATAGACAGAGAGAGGCAACACAGGCTTGGGGTTCGTAACTTTTATGTGGCAGGTTCAGGGATTAGAGCAGGGTGGTTAAGGGTGGGGTTGGTATGAGGGAGTGGTGAGCCTTTCTCAGAAAGGCTCTTGGGCAGGAAAGTGAAATTTTTTCTTAAGATGGTGGCTGTCACTTAAGATGGCCATACAGATGCTAAGCAAGGACCTTATGCTCACTAAGTTGCTGAGGCTAGTCTTGAATTTGTGATCCTCCTGCCTCAGCCTCCTAAATTGCTGGGATTACAGGTGTGCGCCACTGTACCTGGCTATATTTTCTACGTGTCTGATGATATGGATAATTTTCCACAGATTTTTTCTGG